TCTCTCTCTCTCTCTCTTCTTCTTTTCTTCTCTCTCTCTCTCTCTCTCTCTCTCTCTTTCTCTACTCTCGGGGTATTAAAGGCGAGAGGCGACACTCGGTATTACAGCGATTCAGCAACACTATCGCGTCGAGGCTTAACGACCGCAGATTCTGTCGCCAGTTTGGAGTCAATTTTTTCTCGGCAAAAATCTGATTGGCCGCTGATAACGGGATTATACGCGACTTCAAGAACAGTCTGTTTTTTAATTAATGAAATAAAAGTAATTTCAGTTTTTAAATTAAAATCTGGTTACGAATTTCCTCGAAAAATGTGCAGGTGTTCTTTTAACTGTGGATTGCTCGGCGCACAGTTTTTCTTAACGAAAAAGTCGCGGATAATACTATACTCGCGTGATATTCCCCGGATATATCCTATAAATTGGGATCAAGTCAGGATATCCCACAGATATCGTGTGTTATGCGGGTGCTCCAACTTGCGCGAACATCGGAGTATTAACCCTTAAACTGAAACATTAATCTCCGAAACTTAATCATAACTTTGAAATTCATGAAATAAATTTATGTCTGTTTGTCTTTGTAGATGATGAATTAGTTGATAGGTTTATGTCGTAATTCTTTTGTATCGCGAGTTTCAAGGAGTAACGAAAGCGCATTCAGAAGTCGTGAAAAGGTTTTTTTTTTTTAAAGCTAATAGGTCTCAGAAAGGATTTATTACGTTTTAGCAGACTGATGTAGTCTGACTATCGGATCGGCAAGAAGAAACTGCGCAAAGTATCTGAATATTATCAGCTGCATGCAGCCGATTTCCCACTCCCCTTCTTTTCCACAAATAGCAAAAGATTCCTCGCTGTTTCGCGATAGCATCGATTTCCCATTTCTTTCGCTTTGTTGTCGAAATAGGAATCGCGTCGTTATTACATAATCATTTTAATGTCTGGAGTGCTAATACAAATGTGATCAGTATTTTTATCGTATACATTTTATTAATAACAAATAACAAATTTTAAATACTGAATATTTACATATTCTTTATTTGCACATCTTTGGATTTTTCCGCGGCAAAATTTTTAATTAAAATATTTTGCAATATTTGTTTAATAGAAGTTTATTAAATTAAATTGTACTAAATTGAAGTTAATAAAATATAAATCAAATGGAATAATGACAATATTAATTAAGTCAATAATATCTTTTTAGCTACATTACTCAAGTTAAAATTTCATTAAAATAATTGCGAATGCCAAGATTAATAAATAATT